CAGCATATTCTGTTAAACTTTTACCTGTTAAAACAGGTAATTTATTTGCTAGATTTAATCTTCACTGTTTGATCTCATTTCTGATCATGCTGAAAAAGTTTTTGTAATGCTATACCTTTTACAAGTTTATTAGAGAAGCAGAGCTAGGCAGAACATTATTATCTTGGTAACTTGTTTTGCAACTTATCACTTCTATAATTGACACTAGATGTAGATTTCACCCACTCTTCAATACTTAGAGATGTAAAACTATCTGGTTTTAAATGTCAGTGAACTGTTCATCCAGTGTACTACAATTGTAAAGACAATACAGGCTTTTTATCCTCTGAGCAATTTTATCTTGCCATGCTGAAGTAGTAGCAATAAAAGTTAAACTGGAATCTCCCCCTTGTAATTTGGTCAGTTGCAGTGTTTGTATTCTGGAATTATATTTGATAATGTCCTATTCATCATTTCAGTCTTGTAATTAATCCTTGTGAGGAAACCTCTGAGTCAATCAAGGGAGTGCTGGATGGGCAGCACTCTCTCTGAGCAGCAGGGAGCTGCCATAGTTATACCTTGCTGTGGTTTAAGTGGGACTGCAGGAAAGTCCGTGAGCAGCACTTCTGGAAGGGCTTTTTTGTGCACGGAAGTATTGCTGTTGCTTTGGACATGTTATCTGGGCTGATTATGAAGAGAATGTGGTGATGCTGGAGAGCGTTCTGGAAGGCTCAGTATGGGTAGAGTGGAGAGAGGTCTCTTTAAAGTAGCATCAAGGTAACTCCTGAGAGAGTATGAGCTTGTCCAAAAGGGCTGGAAGTGATAGATGCTGATCTGGAACCAATGTAGTAAAACCTTACATTATTTAAAACAAACACCAAACCCTCTAAAATATGCTGAAATATATGAGTGTTAAATATGCTTAAAAAAAAAAAAAACAACCCTGCATGTAAAAAGAAAGGGGAGTCAGATTGAAAGGGAAGGAATTTGTAGAACTGCTGAGACAGATATATAAAGGAAAATATGTTCTAGAAAGCAAGAGCAGGGTGTCCATCAGCAGGAACTGTTGCAAAAATACAGCTAAAATGAAAAGTAGGGACAGAGGAAAGAAGATAATGAGGAATAAACATGTAATTTATGCGTTGGTATCTGAACTGAAATGAGATTACATGTATTAATTATAAAATCTTTCGTTGTTATGAGATTATGTCAGCAACAGACAAAATTGAGTGAAGGAACGGGGGTAATGATTCACAGACTAAATATTTCTTCCTTTTGAATTTTTTCATTGATTGTGGACTTTTTGAATTATGATATTAAAAAATAAGTAGGTATTCATTGGTAGAGAGTAATTAATAGAAAGTATTGCTGACTACTACTGTTGAGAATTGATGTACTCTGCCATGGTACTGAATGACTCACAAATAACTGACTGGGTCATGTGTTGTGAATGATAAATCTTTATAATTTCAAGTGTCTGAAAACTGCTCTTAGAACTTTTGAGAGTTCTTTCCCTGTGTTTTTATGCAAGTAAAGTTACAGTCCTGTACTCTTTTTATCTAACCAAAAGCAAAGCAGGTCATGTCATGGTAGTAAGGAAATACCTCCGTGAAATAATTGTGTAACCACTTCTTCAAGGCGGGGTGGGGGGTAAATTCTTGTTCTTATTTACTCACCTGTTGTTTCTGAGGTGATTACGGGAATCACCATTTGCAGATAAGGAGTGTGAGAGAAAAAACTATTTGCCTTGACTGGTGCTATGTGTAGCAACAACCTTAAGGATGGATGTTCTGGGCAAGTTTTGACTTAGCAGTGGGAGACTAGTGAGACAGACAAGCCAGGACAACAAAGAGGTAACAAATTAATTCTGTCCTTAGATGAATACCATGTTCCTTCAGAACTGAGCAAATATAGTGACAATCTGTCATTTCTGATTATTGGCACTTTCAGTGCTTATGAAATGCTATCTGCCAGCTGTGGTGTCACATGACACCTTAAGACTTGTCACCAGCCTGGCAGAGCACTCTTACCACTGTTACAAAGCTACTGCTCTTCGCAGCTGGGCAGGAAGGCAACGCTTACATACAGTCTTTGCTACGAATTTTAGGTTTTGGCTTCTGAGTTGTTTCCCACTAAGAAGTGCGGGCTGTGGATCTAGAGGATCCTGTAACTGTGACTTACAGGGGGATGGGTTTGTGGAAGAGGAACTGCAGCCCTGTTTTCCTGCCCTTTTACTGTAAAGCCTTGGGATTTTCCCCCCGTCCTCAGATTTGTGCACCTAATGTAGAAATGCAGAAAGAGGAAATAGCACTGGAGAGCTATGGGTGGGAAGGTGGACTGGGACTCATCAGTGGAGGTTTGACATGGTTAAAAACCCCTAGTTGGGTAAACTTCTCAGACGAGACCTATCCCATTTCCCAGTTGTGTGAGGTACATGTCCTTGCAGTAAGGAGCTGCTCTTAGTCCCTGGATAGTTGCCTTATAATTTGAGTTGAGCAAAATCTGAGGTACAGGACACTTGAGATAACTGCCATGGCAGTTTTGGAGAGCAAATACATTTATAGGTGAAACAGTTCTTCAGTAAATGATTTAAGATGGCAGAGGTGGGTAAAGTCTAATAAATGTGAAACCATTAGCTAATATAGTGAAGAAATCGGGCTTGAGTTGTGTAAACACAGGCATCTAATCCTACTGAGATGCTCTAGGATCTCTGGCATCCACTTACCAGCAGGGAATGGGCAGTGTCAGACCAACTAGTCGTAGGAGAAGCCTTAGATATCCCAAGGGGCACAATGTGCTATAAAGTGTTTATGTAGCTGAGTCAAGACAGAATCTGTATGTCCATGATGCTGGCTGTCTGCAGTGCACTTCATGATGTCCCATTCCGTGTCACTGTTCCTGTAAAGACGCGCAGACACATGAAAGTCAATGGGAAGACACGCCTGGAATCCATAATATGATGCTCTTTCTAATTTACATTCCTTTCTGAAGAACCAATTGCACAATTTGGCTGCGGTGGCTGAGATCTTATTTCTAGTGTCATGAGAATTCCTAGTTCTTGGAGTCTGCACACTTATGATGTATAACATCTAAAAGAGTGCTCAGCTACATGATTAGCTTCCTGAAGACATAATTTGCTCCTCTTATGTTTCTTTATCTTTCTTTCTACATTACTTCACCTGTATCTTTTTTCTTTTTAATCTAAAAAAAAGAAAAAGAATCATTTGTGTATTCTAATCAGACCCTGAGATGGGTCTGCTATTTTATATTTGAATTTTTAAAAGTTTGGTTTTCTAAAATGTTTTAGTGCTTGAAATTTAATATTTTGATATCAAAGCACCTTAAGACTGTGCTACTGATAAATTATTAAATGGGTAATTCTGCTGGGAGAGGTTACCATATTACCACCTCTGTGAAGCTTTTTTGTAGGAGACTGTAGGTAAGCCTGTGTTAGGACGCAGTCTTAGCCAAGAAACAGCTCTGATCTGTAGCCATGGATTCCAGCTCACTGGAATGTGCAGCAAAATGTTCTTTTTGGAAGACTTTTTGCATTGCACTCTTCCCACTGTTTAGCGAACATTAGACCAAACGTCATTTTCTGAAGGGTCCTGTGATTGCAACAGTACTGTACATTTGGTAATATTTGGAAATGTTGCAGTCATTTCCCTTTCCTCTGAGGTTGCAAGGTCCCAAACATTCTCATCTGCCCTGTAATTGGTGATAAACATTTCTGCTCGCAGTTTGTTTAAATCTGTTGTCTACAGTACCAAGTTCTGTACAATTGTTCGTTGCTACACTTAAAGTGAGACTGCCTGCCATTTATTTTTTGGGACTTAAAAGTAGAAATATTTAGAGTTAAAATGGAAGTACAAAATTGATTGAGAGAACTTGAGAGAAAAACCTCCTCACAACTTATTCTCTGAAGTCTGTTGATTGTACAATGAAGAGACGTATGTTCTCACCACCCATCTGCGCTGAAAATATTATCTTGTGCTATTCTTACAGTTTTGGTTTGATTGACTCTGGTTATAAGCAGATTTTTACTTTGTTTCATAGGTCTGATCTGCAATCTGCATTTTTTATTCTATGCTTACCAACTATATACCAAGAGAGTGGATGTAAAACTCATGAAAACAGCAGTATAATAATAAAGTATGAATTTCAAGGCTGTTATCAAGAATGGAGGCCAACACGGCTCATATTTACAAAGAAAAAATTATATAATTGTCAGCTCTTCTAAAAACAAAACCCAATAAACCCCCAGACCATCTGTTCAGTATGGTTGTTTTCTTGGGTGCCTCCCTAGGTCAACAGTTTCCAGGGTTGAATACAGTTAATTGCTGTAGTGGTTTTATTAATCTGCATTTTAATCTTGCCAAATTTAATGTTTGAGGAGTTGCCTACTCGATTTTTTTAATTTTGTTTTTATTGTTCTTAAATAAATAAGGGAAGAGACAGAATTCTGCCAATTTAGCTATTTCTAAGTTTTTTATCTTTTTCAACAGTAGCTTTGAATGATTAATGTGAACCTTTTAGTTTTGTGTGCCAGTGGAAAAGTGTACCTGAGCTCGTTCAAGTGCTGCTAATGAACATGATAAAAGCAGTGATTTGTTATTGCTGCTGCCATTAGTTACTGTTTTATGAATCATATGATCTGAGGAAATACAGTGTTATTGCCTTGCATCTGGTAACACAAAAGAACAATCAAGTAGGAGAAAGATCTGTAGCAGTTAACAATAAATCTATTTTGGGAAAAGGACCCTCTCTTCTTCCAGCTGGGATGGAGGGGATGTGTGGAATGGACTTGGGGGACAGGAAACCAACCTCCCAAAATCAACCTTGTAGTTATTTCTAGAAGGAAGGGGGAAGATAGTGCCTCATGAATTCTAATATCAACAGAACAGTTGAATGGATCAGTAATAATATTCATCTATTGCCTGATTTCTCCTGTCTGCTTAAAATCTGAAAGACTTGCATACCAGAAGAACCTTTCTAAATTTTCAGCCATTTCTTTAATTTACTATTGAATTGTTGCCATTAGTTTGAAGACCGCGTTTGAGTTTTTGGTAGGATTGATTCAAGAAATCATGGATAAGAATCTCTTTCCATGTGCATGTTAGCTATTCTCTGTACTTCATCAAGGCGGGATTGTGTTGGCTCTTGGATATTCCTTATGATCCTGTTCCTTGCAGGACTGTCAATGTTAATCTGAGACAGAAAGCAACACCACCAAGGTATCTCTGAATACGTGCAAAGGAAGGGGAAGGATCATTGAATTCAGGGGATCTGTATTGAATGCCTTCTGTTTATATCTTTTTATGTATTTTATAATCTAAAATCAGAACTGAAAATAAACCTTTCATTTGCTAAGAGTTGTTTCTAGACCTAGGATTAGATTCTGTAGGAGGAAGCCTGACTTTTGATTTCTAATGAGTCCAAGTGTGTGAAGGTGCACCTTACCAGTGAAAAACAATGTCTAAAATTGTTCTGATCTCTCAGATAGATAAAACTGAGCCTGTATACAAACCTTGTTTAGGAAAAGTTTTAATTTCTAGAATTTTTCTGCTGCAATCCATGGCTTGTAGCAGATAAGTTGAAGCTCTGCAGGTGTGTAACAGCAGAAGAGTGTAGTGATCAGCAAATACACCAGGGAAAAGGAAATGTTTGATAATCCATCAGCTCATGATGAATTACATTGTTTATTTTCAGCTTCACTTTGTCTGTTAGTGTTGAGAGGAGATTTGGTTAGTGCTGATGTCTTTCATGGGTTGAGATCTTGCACTTCCAGAGGAGTCATTTGAGTGGCACCTTTTTATATGCTGCTGAAATCTGAATATAAACTGGTTTTAAATCCTCATGAGCATCTAGTTTTTTTAGAGTGGTACCTAGTTTTTCTGTTTATAGTGAATATATGAAATCAGTGTGTCCTGAAGACCTAAAAACCAGATACCAATAGCAAGATTCAATTACACACTATTTTAGAAAAAAATTGCACAGCTTATTTTTAAATGTCCTGATTTAAGCCCTGACTTTTCATTAATTAATTTGTGGTTGGCAAAACTGACATTTCTCTTTTGCAAATGCAAATATCTTGCTGAGTTTCCTATAGCTGTTCATGCTAAAAATAAAATCAGAAAAAAGAAAAGGGGGACAAGAATGCGTTGTCTTGCCAATTGGCCTTTAAAACCAAAAGAGGGAACTTTAAAATTTTAAAGTTTTGGATTAGTGCAAGTGGTTTAGCCATTTAAAGCAGCAACTGCTCTCAGCCAACATTTGGGAATCCAGCTGGTTTGGGTTTGGCTTGTCCTTCAATGCTGGCAGGGGGGCTGCATTTTGAGCCTCTATAATAACTTTATTGTTACACATAAACCAAAAAATAATCTAGCATGATTCTCTGGTTATGTCAGCCTGCCAAAAGCAGTGGCAGTAAAAGCCAGTACTGGCTTATTTTTGCAAGGAGAGTAATAAACAGGAATGATTAAAGGTCATAGAGCATTACTGACTGAGCAGGAATGACTTTTGTCTATAGCCACTTGTCAGGGGAGAAAAATCAGACATTTTACATACAAATCTGCTCTGTTTTCCCTAAACCTTGTGCTGCTGGAAGCAGGAATAAAAAAGGTTATCTGTCCTGGAATCTTTCTTTTAGCCCATTTTACAAAGGGTAGAGTTTTTACATTGTTCATGCATATTTACTCTTTCAAAGACCAGACTAATATATATATGCTGCAGTGCCATAATCCAAAATCTCTTGGCCCCTGGATCTAATGCTAAGGAAAACAGGACAGATCCAAGAACTTGTGCCTTTTGTATTGTTGGTGGATATAGCTGAAAAATTTACCTATAGACAAGATGTAGAGTCAAGTATTAAAATTTGGGAAAGAGGTTTGGGGAGGATGAATAGTTTTCACTCCCTTTAATACAAGAGGTGCAAGGCATTTAATGTTGTTCTTTGTTGCATGACACATCAGACCCTTCTGTAAGAGAAAATAGAGAGCTCATGATATTTTGTCACCTCCTTGGGAGCCTGGGGTTGAATATAACTCGTAAAAAGCTTCCTGGCACATGGAGATCCTTTTCCTCTAACATGTTCTTATAAGCTTCAGAAGCAAGCCAGAATTCTAAATTTTCATTGCTATGTTCTGTCTTGAAGTAGGTCTTGCAGATCAGAGGCCCATCTGTAAATATTTTAGAAGCCAAATTTATATAACCTGTATATATGCATTACCTTTAAAGTCCTTTGGAGACAATAGGGGTATTTACAAGGCACTGTAATTTTTGATTGTACACCTATAAATATTATTAGATTATGTCAAATGGGGAATTAATCACCGTATCTCACCCCCACTCTTCAACATTGCATTTTCCTGCATGTGCAGTGCTCCCTTTAACTTCAGTGGCATTTCAGTATACAGGGACAGAGCATGGAAAGCTTTGTTCATTCTGGACTCTGAAAAAAATATCCAAAGACTTAAAAGTATTCCTAATTTCCAGTTCTAAGTTTTTACAGAAAATATCTAAGTATTAACAAATAACCATGATCTGAGTAAAAAACCAAGACCATTTTTTGTGCTGTAAGAATCTAGGGGGAAAAGCACTTAGTAAAAATAGAAGAAAATAACTTTTTCCCTGATGATATAAACATTTAAAATAATTCTTTCTTTGGCAAATAAGTGGTTCTGCACCTGAGGATGTCTTTGAAACACCTGGTGATGGAGTTTAACAGGAACAATTAGTGGGACCTTGGCAAAGATTAAGTTTCTGAGGCTGCCTTTTGTTATGTCACGTCATTAGGCTTGCTTTGCACAGAATTAGGTGACAGAGTTGCTAAAATGCCTCTACCTAGGAGAATATTTATGAGGCTTCACTCGGTGGCACAACAGTGGAAATGGTACTTGCAATTATGAGATGTGCTTTCAGAGTAAATCCAAGACAGGCAAACACTTTGCCCACTTTTCATAAAGAGCTGCAAATCCACTGGCTTTAGTGTCTGTCTTTTTATATGAGCACGCCTTTGCATTTCTTGATGTCCTGAAGCTTTGAAGTTAATTAAAACTCAACGAGTAGTGCCATCTAAGAACAATGAAGGAGGCATTTTAAGAAGGGCAGTGTTCTGGGTACTGCTGGAAGATACAAGTGTTTTATTTAAAGCAAGCTTTCCTACTTGTGCAGCGCTCTGGGCTTTCATATTTCTGAAGACATTGAACACTGTCTGTCATCTGGCAGCAGTGGTGATCACACACGTGCCTGCTGCTTCTGTTGTGATTGTGTCTCTTCAAAATGTTTTCTTTTGTGGAGTTTCTCCCTGTGCTTTCCCTGCAAACTATAACATACTAATTTGTTTCCTGTTAAGGCTTTTACTGGTAAAATCTTTATAGTTAAAAGTTCTGTCTGTTAATCTTCTTGCTCTTCGTAGTTTGTCTGTAGTTTGAAAATAATGTTGATCCTCAGGAATAATTTTTAGAAGCTTGTGCTGTGATGTAACATTTTCGTCAACATTTAAAAAAAAAAAAGGCAGTGATGTTTGAGACTGCTGGCCATATGAGAAATGTGGGAGAGCTCTGAGCCCTCTGTGAGGCAGAGGGAGGCTGGGGTGGGAAAGGTCAGAATTGCTACTGCAACTACAGTTCTTCCCATATCTGAATACAGGAGTTAACTTCCATGGCATCACCCTGCACAGAGGTACTATTAGGTACAGTGCCTTTGCCATACATGGGACTTCCCAAGTCAAATTTTCTTTCACTTTTCTGCTAATATAGGTTGCTATTCAGTGCTCTAAGTGAGGATATAGCAGATAAACCTGCCCTCATTGTATGTCTTTAGAAGAATTACACGTGAATGCAAAAATGGCAAGTTTGGGAAATCATTTACAACATGCTACATTTATTTTTAGTGCAGTGCACGCTAAGCATGTCACATACAGTTGTTTTTCATTAGTTGCATATAAGGCAGCATATATTATACAACATGAGTTGTTGATTTTTGCTTTGTGGGAACTTTTTTTCAGTAATCCATCTGAGATGCAAACACACAATTACTTACATTTCCTTGTTACCAGCTTTTCAAAAGACTGGGATCACTGTAGCACTTCCTCCAAAGACACACTTCAGAAAAAAGGAGAGCATTATTGCAGGATTAGCTGCAGTTCAAAGTATTAAAAAAATATATTACACTGTTGAAAATCTGTCCCCTAATTTAAGTATGATCTGTGTGAAACTTACACTTTAAAAGGACTTTGTGTCCTAAATCTTGTGCATTATGGTGACACAAATATTTTTTTGCAGCAACAGATATATTGCCATTTAAAGGTGTTCCCGTATAATTCTTCTAGAAATGGCATTCACCTATTTAAATTGTGCTTAGGAGGAGCATAAGAAGTTACTAGCTTTCTAGACAGCAACTTCATCGGGACAGGAATCCCCACAGAGTTTGGGGAATACTGAAGTTTGTATTTAGTAGCAGAGTCTTCAAGGATACAAGATCTTATTGTAATATTTAAAGGCCTTTAACATCTAAGCAGACTTATCAGCTGAGAGATGAATATAAACTCTAAACATAAGGTAAATAATGAAAGGCTGATGCAATCTTAGCTGCAAGGGTACTTTCCATCTCTCTCTAGTCTGTTTACAATGCAGAATGACACATTATTACTAATCTAGACAGATCTTGGAGGTGACTAAAATCAGATTTTACTTTTATGTTTGCTATTCTTAAGCAATAAGTCCATAAGCTTGTAGGAGTCTCCTGCCTGATTCTGGGAAAGCATGGAAGTAGTGAGGTGAGAGACTAAACAATTTAAGGAAAAACAAATGTTTGAGGGCAGTAGCTCCATTTGAGTGCACGTAGCTCCATTTTCACCAACTGATTTTTAAGCACTGCAGTTTTAGGACATCAGTGCTGGTAACTTGGAAAAACTTCTTATGCTTATATTAATAGAAGAAAGCACAAGGGATTATGCACCAACCAAACCTGGAGGACGATCCATTCTCATTGAGTATTTAGTTTTCATGTTAGCTATAATTCTGACAACAGCTTTTTTTTGACACAGCACTTCTTAAAAATCTAAATTAAAATTTGTTACAAGTGCTGCATAATGCTGTGTAGATTTCTGCTGCAGAACAGCCATTAGTAGCTTTGTACCTTTTTTAATTGGTGATGACCCATTTATTTTTAATTTGATATAATTATCTTTCTCGGAAAAAGTACTTGCTGTGACTCACAGATTTTGTCAGGCTTTCCTGATCATTCTGACCTCTTCAAAGAAATACACAACAAAAGAAATGTTACCACTGTTGAACCGTGGTGTCAATAACTCTCTAGCAACTCTGGCCAGTAAAATAGTTGGTTTTTTTTTTTTCATTCTCATGAACTATTATCCTTCTCTCTGCATAAACTCATGAAGTATGTTGTTGTGGGGAGTGAGAATCCTTTAAATAATTTCTTTTTTTCTCTTTAAGAGCTATTTCTGAGTCATATTCACTGTTACTGACGCAGATAATTTTTCACCTCTGTCAGCAATGGCACTTGTATATAGAATGAGTGACAATCAGATCTGTCTCACTGAACATCGTCAGTAGAGCTGCCTTATTTCCATTTCTGATTATTTGTCTTTCCAATTTATCTGTGAAGCAGCAAGAACACTGCCCAATGGGGCAGCTGACACAGAGGAAAAGCTTTTTACCTTTTTACTTTCCTTTAAAAATTGGGAAAATGAGAAAGACAACAAGGGAATATAAACATGAGCTATGAGCTGTATTAATGCAACTTTAATAGCTGTTGTACTGATAGTAAGAGTCTTGCTGCACTGATCTGCAGCATGATTTAATTTGCTGAAGAATATGTATTACACTGAAAAAAAAAATTAGTATTCCACAAAAATAACTACAGCTTTATAGCTCCAAAATTTAAATTGTAGTGTCTTGTGGGAGCTATAATTCGCTTATTGTACACCCTCCACTGTGAGTGGCTTCCCTCGACACTGTGGTCCAGAAGTCCTTGTCCAGGAGGCACTGGGTGGTCAGCTGGGGCAGTTGGGAAGATGTTGCACCCTTTTGCATGACCTTAAGCTTACAAAGAAAACTTCCACTGTGAATTTTGAGGTTTTTGTATCTCTTACTCAGCTGCATGTACTGCAGGACATAACTCTCCTCTTTACCTACTTAGAACTGACCTCATTTTCTTCTGCTCTGAATATCTTGCAAAACCAACAGATATTTGGACTCATTCTTCTAAACATGGAAAATGTGTGAGTTTTGAATCTGCTATGCTCAGTTGTGGCCTTCTTAAATAAAAGCTTAAAATTCACTGTACGTATAGCAGTGCAATCAGTTCTAACAGTATTTTTATTTTATGTATCTGATCTCTGTGTGTGAGTCATGTCTGAAGCATTTGACCAAAATATATTTTTGTAATATATGAGAACTTAAAAAAAAATAAAAATTAAAAATTATCTTTAAGCAGTCCCGTGAATATCTCTTAGGGAAGAATAGAAATGTTAATAATTTTCCGTTTTAACTTCCTCGATTGTGAAAAGAGATTAGAAGGTTGAGCCTGACCCAAAGCAGAAGGAAACTAGGACTCTTCTTCCTGAAAGTTCAGGGTGACCTGGATGAGAGATCAGAGCTCAATGTAGACTGGACAATGCTGATTAAGTTGTTAAGTGTCAGAGATTAACACTGATATTTGTCCAACATGTATCTCAGAGTCAATAAAACATTGTATAGAACTTGCTTTTGTATAGAGATGATATCCATAAGAAAAGGTGTAAGTTTTTGTTAGGAATGAGGCAGTTAAAATTATGTTTGTCTAAAAAAGACAAAATTTTAAAAATATCTTGTGACATGGAGAATGTTTATTGCTTCTCCTTTGGTTTCCAAGCAATGCCAAATACTTTGGTGAGTTTTCACAGGACAGTGAGTAAGTTTGTATAGACCTACCTGAAATCAAAACAGATGATATCTAAAGTCAGTTTCTTTCAGGTTTGGCTTTGACTGGCACATATTACTCCTAGAACCAACTTTTTTTTCCTTCAAACTGAAACACACACAGTAAAACACAGGGCAAGGCTGTATCTTCCAGCTTTCTGAACCTGTGAACTGTGCACATTTGCCTTTCATCTTATTTTCCTTCTTTCCCTGACACCTATATTGAGTTTTACATTATTTGAGAGTCTTACCCTGTATGTTTCCTACAGGATATTGAAACTTCATAACTCTGCCCAACTGCTGCACTGCCACTCCTGCTGCTCATGCTCCCTGCAGCCCTATAGGATTGCCAGTGGCCATTGCCTGTTGCCTGCTTTGGAATTCTCTGAACTATGTTCTCTGCTTTGTTTCGTTGTCACTTCCTATTCGTTTTGTGAGTATTTACTTATCTCACCCTCTGCCTAAAAGCAGAGTGTCTTTTAAAACTACACATTATTCTGTATTTAAGATGAAGTTATACATTTAAATTCTGGCATACGGTTATTACTTATCACCTTAGTTTAGACTATTTTACCCAATGCCATCTATTTTGGATGCTTTCATGTGGCAATCATTAGTCTTCTATTCACTGAAATATAAGTGACATAGAGCCTTTGTGGCTGTTTGGAAACCTGAAGAAACCCATGTAGGTTGCCTGCTATACAGAAATGCTTAAAAAAATATTAGATTAAGCAATGTAATGTAATCTAGTTCAGCTACTTCCATCTAAATTCAAAGTGTCAGTCAGTAATTTGTTTTTTTCTTCAGGTGATTTCTGTATGAAGTTACTTCTGTGTAAGGAAATGTTATTGTTCTGAGGAACCATTTTAATTTGAGTGAGAGGCTTTATGCAAATATTATTCCCCAGGGTTGTTGAGTACACACATTTGTCAAGCATACACATCCAGGGCTTTGTGGTTCTCTCCTCTTATGTTACTCATCTCCTAGTAGACCAAGGAACAGAGCATGCTGATTATATCTTTTCCAGAGCTCTTTGGAACATCTTTTTTCCACTGAAGCATAGTATATGTTTCATTAGTGAGATTCTGTGTGTTTCTACTGACCATAGTGTTAACCCTAAAATAAGACAGGACTAGTGTGAAAGCTACAACATCCCTTGAGCAGTTTGTTGGGTTTGGATCGTGTGATCTGCACAAGTGCTGCCTGTTACTTTACCTATATTAATGTCTATTGCAGAGTTCAGCTAACTAGACTTGGATCATGGGAATTCTTTTCATCCAATCCATATAAATGATGTGTAGAATCCTTTCTCTTTGCTCATTATGAGGCTTTATTGCAACAAGGCCATAAGTTCTTTTAACGTGTAGGACCTGTGCTTCCTGCAGGACCTGTAATCAAACAAAGTCATGTGGATGCAAGATTTTTGGAAAAGGAATTGCCTGACTGATAATATATGAATCCAAGTGCTGAAGTTATTCAATGTCTGTAAAACGTATAAGCAGTACTGATCTGGAAATGACCGTTTAACCATTAACATATTTTATATTGGAGAAACATCAGGAAAACTGATTTAGTATATCAAAGAACAAGATCTGTTTACTTTTCAAATTACAACATGCATTTTGATTTTTTCACCACCTTTATACTGTGCCAATGAATCTGTAAACTACCTAATGTCACAGTTTTTAGTACACATCTAGCTTTCAACTAACCCTCAGAGAGAAACTGCTATATTAAAGTTTTAATTAATTGCCTCTAATGTTATTCAACTTACTTTGCACTGTTACGCAAAATATTCATATATAAATAGGGATAAAGTTGTTTATACATCAGAAACATTTCAAACACGAATGCCTTTGCTATGATGATATACCTTTTTTCTCTTGACATGAAAAGTTATTTCCCTGCCTTTGCTACACTTTGCTGTTTTAATATATCAGAGTATGAAATCTTATACTTGCACAAACGCTTCCTGTTTGCCTTGTTTAAAAAGCTTCATTTAGCAGTTCCATTTGTAAGGGTAATTTTCCAAATTTCTTGACTCTTTCTTTTGTTTCATCATTTTCTCATAGTGTAGATAGTCTTAGTACCCTTTGGCTGTGCCTGTGCTGCTTGTGTTAGTGCCTGACTCCTTTTTTTTATACAGACATGGGTGAACAGTTGCTGTGGTTTCTACCAGAAAAAACTCCTCTGATTAAGGGGTGGAAAACATTACTCACAAAACTTGGATAATACATGCAAGATTTCAATGAAGTAAAGCACAGTTTCGTGTCATTACTGCTGATCAGTAGAGATGTCAAGATAATTTCAGTGCAAACAGACTGTCAGTGGTGCATCAGAGTCCAAAGTTCTTTATATGAAATCTAAAGTCCATGTTGAAATAAGACAAAAGGCACAAGCATTGCATTGAAACTAAGTTTCATCTTTCTACGGGAGAGCATTATGAAGCACTTTGGGCTGCCATGAGTGAAGCTTTATTTTCTGCTCTGACCCATTAGTGTCAGGCACTAACCTGCTCTTGCACAGCATCTGAGGGTTGGTAGACCAGAATTCTCTTTAAACTTGTATAAGGTCCCCTGTCATTCTTCTCATAGCTGTTGCCCAGGTTATGGCCTCCTTTAAAATTGGGACTGAGGTCCCAATGTTTTGCTTATTCTTCTCTAACCAGGTGTTTCAAGGCAGCTATGCAGAGCAATAGCACTGAAGTTGCTGTTTGTGCCAGCGGTAGATTTGTTTGTAGTGGTATTGGGGCTTTGAGACTAAGTGCTACCTCAACTAATTGCTGCAAATTAGTCATGGAAGGGGATATTTCTAGGAAGTTTTCTGTTCTTCCTGGGGTAGTTGTGATCTCTGAGGATTTGCCAGTGCCTGTAAAGTGCAGATTGACACTGTTGAGAGGGCAAGGTTGGTCATCTCCCTGCTCCATCTGGCAGCCCAGTTGTGTGCAGTGATATTTCTTTCCATCTTATCTCTCTGTTCTGACTGATTTGTTTTTGTTTTACGGAGTCTCCTAGGCAAAGTATGAGCTGTGTAGAATTGGAACTTCAGTTGAAGCTTGAGCCTACAATAATACAGTGCACTCATTTATTTTATTGCAGCTCACCCTACTGGTATGCAGCCTTTGCGTGTGAGGATGTACACCAGTTTCCCCACAGTAAGGGTTCTGCTAGGGAGGAAATGTATGTGGTGTGCTCCCCCACAGCAGAACCTTGTGTTTGAACAGGGCAGCATCAGACACATGAGACTTGGCCTGTGCTATTGGCTCCATGCTATTTGGCAAGGACAAATATCCTCATGCGATCTATTTTCTATGGGTTGTTATTTCATTAAATCTTATTTTGTATTCTTCATAATTTTACACAGGATTCTGGAGTATTTTATTCTATTTCTATATTGGGAATGAGAAGGGGAAAATATCTATGCAATGTGACTGAGCTAATTATTCGAATAACCACAACAGTGACATGTTTTGACTTTCTCACATACCTCCTCAAACATCATACTTCTAATGTCTCATATAGAGGCAGTTATATGCTAAAAGTATCTGAGGGCTGGAACTTGACAAGCTAAAAATGACTATAAACAATTTCATTTGTAGAACTATTTAAAGTTAAATAAGAAAAAAAGTAGCCTGTTAATAATGGAGTTAACTCTGGAGAAGTTACAGAACGAAAATCCCAATTATGTGGTTAGTCTCCAGTAGTGATTTGAACCAATATTTAACCAAGATATTTACATATGTTTTGTAAAAACTTTGTATGTATAGATAGGTACATATGCAAGTTCTTTTGCAAAAGCCTAAATCTGTCTTATTTTTGTAATAAATTTCACTGGCATGAAATGATAGCGCATCTAATTTCTCAGTATTAAAATTAATGTTAATGAACTATTTAGGGCTTTTTTTCTATCAAATGTTTCTCAGGAGACCATGTATGACCAGATATCTTTGTAGGTTTAAATTGTGCAGAGACTGAGGATCAGTAACTAATGACTTTATGTTCACATATTTTTCTTTTACATATTACAGACATAAAGAAATAGTGTAATATTTTTTGAATTGAAATAAACTTGTTTGGGGATTTTCTCTCTAAGTTTATTTTTACTATTAAGTTGAAGAAAATAGTTTTGCAAACCTCTCTTGACTTGTACAGTGGGAGGATATTTAGGTACAGGACTTATTTCATATCTGCAGTTTTGTTGTATTCTTGACCATGCTCTAAAGCATCATTTGAAATGTAATGGTTATCCACAGGCACTTAGCATTGCCTGAGTCTCTTAGCATTGGGTGACTGACTTGCTG